ACGGTCAAGCTGGCCCGCCCCGATCGTGGGCGTCTGGACAGCCTCCGAGAAGCTCAGCGGGTGGCCAAGGCGGCCAAAGAAGGTTGTGGCGGCGAGCGCTGCTGGAGCAGCCTCGCGCGGCACCGAAGCAGCCAAGACCACTAACACGTTTACCACGTCTGATGCTGGCACAGGAGGAGCCCCTGCCAGCGCCTGCACCAGGCTGGCAAGAGGAGGGCCCAGCGAGTAGTACCCCAGCCACTCGGCGAGCACATCCGCGGGGAGCGAGCGCCCGGCGGCAAGGAGTGCCGGCGTCAAGTGCCACAGGCCAGCCGCCCAGCCAGGGAGGGCCCACGGGGCCGCCGACAGTGGAGGCCCAGCTGGCGCGGCACCGCGACAGGGGTCAGGCAGAGACGCGTCGCCTGGGGGCAGCGTGTCTGGCACTGGAGACGAGGAGCGCGAACCGCTGCCGCTGCTGCTGCTTTTGCTGCTGGAGCTGCTGCCGCTGCGGTGGCCCGAATGCGAGCCGGCCGAAACTGCATCGCGCAAGAATGCACCAAAGACTGGCGGCAGAGGGGCGAGTTCCGCAGACGGAGGCACCATGTGCTCGGTGGGGGCAGCAGGGCACCCAGGCGGGGAGCCAGGGATCGTCTCACCATCATCCCCTGTGCCTCCGAGGCACCCGGACGGCGCGGCAACCACTGGGCTAGCCTCCGCGGGTCATTCCGCAGCGAGAACGCCCCGCGCGTGAGGGCATATTGGAGCCTGCCTCGGCCGGCTGCCAGATCCGCCGCCGCTGCAGCTGCCGCTTCCGCCGCCAGATCCGCCACAGCATGATCTAGGTATGGCTGCTTTCCGGACCGCCCAAGGTCCCGCCATGCCGCCGGCAGGATTTTTTCGTAACAATGTTTTACCGCCTCTCCAGGAACGACTGACTCCAAAACTTCTTGTTACATGTGGTGCAACACCCCCTCGGATCGGAGGTAATCGCGGAATAGCTTCTTGGCAGCCTGGACCGCCGCCGCTGGGACACGCGCCGCCGCAACCGCCGCGCCTCCTCCTCCTCCTCCTCCTCCTCCTCCTCCTCCTCCTCGTCATCAGAGGAGGTCACCTGGCGCGCGCCCTCGCGAAGGGCACCGGGCGCGCGAAGATCGGCGCAGTCGGCCCGTTTAGTTTGTTTGTTCTGCCGTCGCTCAAGCGTTGCTACAATCAAGCCGTATACAGTAGGAGCTCGACCGCAATAGACCTTCCACAAGAATCCCAACCCTGCGACCCCAGGACGAAACCCTTGATCTCTGATGTGGGAACATCACGCTCTCCATAGCAAAACTCCCGAAACCCAGGCAACCCAGGGCACCCTGGAGGCAAGCGGGGTGGTGTTTCTGGGCATGGGCTTCCACCGCAAGGTTGCGATGGGTCCTGCCCTGGACGCCCATGTCGGAGCTCTTCGAGCGGGGCGCGGCCCGCGAAAGTGGCCAAGGATGGGCCGAGGAGGCGAGGATGCAGGGGTACTCCCTTGGGAAGGCCCCTCCTCACTGTGAGGGCTGACTGTGCACACCTTGGAGGCTGACGGGGGCCCCCTCGGCAACTGCCTGGCCGACCCGTGGCCCTGCTCGGCAGGAGGCCTGGCCGTGCCTCGCAGCGGGGCTGGCCGGCCCCAGGCGCGCGTGGCCGGCTCTCCGGGGAACCCTGTCGGGCCTCTCCTCGGCCGTCCAGCATGCACCAGGCCTGGACCCGAGCGGTGTCTTGGCCATCTCGTGGCCGCTGTTTGTTTCCCGTTTTCTGCGCCAGGAGCCGCGACAGCACCGTGCGAGCATCCCGGCCGCATCGGAGCGTCGGAACGGCTGACTCGGAATCGAGTCGGAGCGGGGCGGCATCGGGCCGCACAGGATCGCCGGAATCGCTATCGGGATCGAGTCGGATCGGGGCGGCCAGGATCGGAATCGAAGCGGATCGATCGGATCGATGCGCACACGTCGTTCAGTTCTAATCGTGCTCGTTTCTAGCTGTGCTCGTTTCTAATTGTGCTCGTTTCAAAAAAAAACACAGGGCTTTCGAAGAATTAGACATGAACCATGTGCACATGTTCTTCCAAACTTTCGCCGGAGACGCTTCGAGGGCGAGGTCCCTCTGGGGAACGCGCTAAATTCAGGTCGGGCCTGTCCCCCTACAAGCGGACCTTGAACGACAAATGAAATATAGGCAAAACAGACTCAGTCATAGTCGAAGATATATCAAACAAAGATATATCACAGGAACGCGGATTCTGGTGTATACGGGACCCTGGTGTATACATTCTTCGTTGTTTCCCCGGGAAATCGGGGAAAAGTATCCACCACACCACCCCAGCGTCGTCCCCGACTCTCAAAAAGTCCTGGGATTGAAAAACAACCCGCCACTGGTAATGTATCTGTTCCAGTTTCCGATTATCGGGCCGGGCGAAAGGGGGGGATAGCAAAGAGGGGGTTTGAGAATCAGCTCACGTAGCTGATTTTCCCAGCGCCTCCCGGCGCCGGAGGCGGCCATGTATCGAGGAAGGGGCCCCTCGGTGGGGCCGAAGCCAGCTGCACGCAGCAGATTTCGTAACCCCCCCTTTCCCAATCCCCCCCTTTTGTCCGGCCCGAGTGCAGAGGAACATGCCCGACTTAACGTCGAGTCGGGCCTGTCCCTCTACGCAGGGGGAATATTCAAAAATAGTAAAAACAAAAATAGTCTGGGGATTATTTTGGAGGGTATGTTTTGGCCATTCTGGCGCATTTCTGGGGTATGTTTTACTGTTCGTCGACAATCCCCCCGTACGGGGGACACGCCCGGCTCAAGCCTAACGCCCAATCACCCCTGCAGGGCTCTGCAGCGCGACCGGACCGGGATGGGGGCGCGGCAGGCCTGCAAGGCCGTGCAACGCCCCTATACCTTCGGGAGCGGCCAAAGAGGGGGGGGTCCAAGAGGGGAGGGTGCAAATCATGACCGGCGGCATGTGCGCGGCCCAGCGGGGGGGCCAGGTAGGTCATGAAATAAAAAGAGGCGCCATGAAATCTGGGGAAATATCATGACCCCCGCCATGATATCCCCCCCCCCCCTAGACATCAACCCCCTCTTTTCCGCCCCCGAGACCGTGGGCCATTTCAGCGCGGGGGAGGCCTCGCCGGGCCCCGGGATCGTCCAGAATCGACAAGGGATGAAAAGCCGGTCCTGGGGAATAGGCCCAGACTTCGCTCGGGCATGTCCTCCTCCAGGCGGCTTACGGAAGAGCATCCATCAAGCAGTCACGAGATGAGCGACCCTGGGTAAGAGTAACTTTTGGTGCGCGACTGTTTAGGGGGCCGCGGGGGGACCAAACCTGGGTGCGCAAGCAGCTGCTACTGCTTCGTTTTCAGCCATCTGGGTACCCATCCGTGCCCGCACCAAAGATCACTCTGGCGAAAGGTCACTCTTACGTCTAGTCGACCATGGCCCACGGCTGAGGGCCAGGGCCGCTGAAAAAATCGAAACGGAGGTTTTTCAATTTTCGGCCTCTAGGGGCCCTCGCAGGGCCCCGGCACCGTAACAAAAACGACTCAGGATGAAAAATCCGTACTGGGGAATGGGTCGAGACTTCGGGGGACTGCGTATTGTAAAATCAAGACGTCGGATCTCTGAGGAGCTGCTCGTGCCTGTGAGGGGGCTGGACTCTGTGCGACCTCCTGGCCATCGGCGCCACACACGGCCCGATGCGGCAGCCGGCGCGGGCTGCGGTGCAAGAGAAGTGCGCGCGTGCGGGCGCCATGGGAGCGGAGCGGGCGAAAACCGGGGGAGGGCCCGCCGCTTGAAGCGGACATGAGGAGAGAGAGAGAGAGAGAGAGAGAAGGTGGCGACATCCGAACCCGATCCCCACCAAGCCACGAACCCGAGTCGATAGCAGGCGGGGGTAGGGTTCAGATGTCGCCACATCTTCGACGAATTCCGAACCCTACCCCTGCCCCGCCCATCGAATTGCCTGAATTGTTGATCTAAGATCGCCTACGGCTGCCCCTCTGGGGACACACAGCGGTGCCGATACCGTTACTCGCCGGACTTCCCCCGGAACGTGTTCTGACCAGGAGTCCGAATCGCGACGAGGGTCCCTGGGAGAAGGATGCAAGGATGCCCAAAAGGGCGAAAGCGACTCATGGATGGGGGCATCGGTGTGTTGTTCTTCTCCGAATCCATGCCGAGTTTAGCTGCCCGATACGCAACACGCAACCCGTGGCGTGTTGACACGGAGCTCAACACGTGGATTGAACACATAGGTTTGGCGCGACGCGTTCGCCGAAACGTGTGCCCAAACGTGGGCGAACACGAGCCACGCAGCGTATCAACACGGACGTTTTGAACACGGCACGCGTTGCGTTTCAACACGGGCGTATCAGGGCAGCTAAGATACCGATTCCCGGGAGCCTCGGCCCCGTCCCCGTGACCCTGGGTCTCGACCCCTTCAACCTGACTGGCTGCTCATACGGAGCAATCTCCAAAGGCGGTCCCCCTGGGATCCCGAAGGTCTATACACCGTCCACGGACTGTTTTCTCATACGCAACAGTTCCTATAGGCGGGCAAGCGGTGCGACCCGTAACGGCGTGGGGCGATGCGACACTGTAGGCGAGGTTGATCTGTGAATATTCCTGCGCTCTTTGAGAAGGAACTTCTTTGCGCCAGTGCCGCATCGGGGACTGGCTGTCGCAGAAAGCAGAACCCAAACCGCACCGTTGAGCGACCGACAGGTCACGCCGCCGCTCGCCGGGCTCCAAGGATCTTTGGCGACCGTCTCGGGACCTGGAAGTGGCCCGCAGATGCCGAAGATGGGGGGAAGTGAGAAGGAGAAGGCCTTCTCAGAAGGCGGCGGGACTTCCCAGAAGCCCTCGGCGCCCTCCGAGAAACCCCTTCTGTGTCTCTTCGGGGAAGGCTTCGAACACTTCTCAGAGGGCCGGCCGGGGGACTTCCGAGCCTTCTAAGGCCCTCGTACTCTCACTTCCCCCCCCTCGCTCGCCGCCGAGGGGGGGCACGCCCGTCCTGCCAGTACCTGGCATCCTTCGCCGCTTCGCCGGCCTGCGCCTCCGCCTCCGCCCCGGACGCCGCCTGCATCAGGGGTGCGCCGGAGAGGGGCGCCCCGGGGAGGCCCTGAGGACATCTTCGCGTCGCAGAGAAGAGCACTGCTCTGGGCGGTTGGGGGTGAGGTAGCACATCCTGGCCTGAGGCATGCACGGGGACGGGTTAGGGGGTCGTGGAACGCACTGACAAGAAAGAGAGAGAGAGAGAGGATAAAAAAGGAAACAAACAAATCGAGAGAGGGGGTAATGGAGCCTGGGAGTTTCCATGGCCCACGGCCCCAGCCAAGAAATCCCCCCCACCGAGTCCTTCCCTCCCACTCCACTAGGACTAGAATAATAATAATAATAATAACAACAATAATAATAACCATAATAATAACCATAATCGTAATAAGAATAATAAACTAAGAAAACATAAACTTTTGGCGCTCCGCGCGGATTTCTTGGATACGCGCTGGACCCCCCTCCCTGGCGCGCGGAGCGCGCCAGGGACGGCGCCGGAGGCGCCGCCGGGGGGCCCAGGCGCGGATGCAAGAAATACGCACGGAGCGCCGAAAGTGCATGTTTATGTGTTTTTTTCTTCTTCGATCGACGCCCTCGCCTCTGCCGTGGCCCGGTTCTCGATGGCCGTGAGCCGGGCGGACTGGAGCACCTTGCGCACCTCCTCGTTGCTCTTGCCCTTGGTGGGCCCCCCACTGCGACCGACGGCCCGATCTTCACTCCGCCCCCCACGCCCTCTTTCTGGAGGATCGAGCTTCAAAGACCGATTCTCTTCTGCTGCGACTTCTGCTCTGCACTGGCCTCCCAGAGGCCCGGCCTCGCCCACAAGAGTTTGGATGGAGCGCTTTTCAGTGGCAACTCATTGGCCCCTCCTGTGTTTCTCGGCGGCGAGCCCCGGGGGGGGAGGGAAGTGGAGGAGGAGGAGGAGGAAGGAAGGAAGGAAGGAGGGAAGGAAGGAAGGCAGAAGGAAGGAAGGAAAGAAGGAGGAAGGGATGAGGAAGGAAGGAAGGAAGGAAGGAAGGAAGGAAGGAAGGAAGGAGGGAAGGAAGGAGGAGGAGGAGGAGGAGGGGGAGAGGCAGCAGTGTCCCCGCGATGCGCGGCCCCCCGTGAATTTCCCCCCCCCCCCCCCCCTTGAGGGACCACCGAGCGGCCAAGGCCGCACCACACCCGAGACGAAGCCAAGACGAGGATACAAATCCTCCTCCTCTTCCTATTCCTCCTCCTCCTCCTCCTCATTCTCCTGCCCCTCCTCCTTCTCCTGCCCCTCCTCCTCCTCCTCTTCCTCCTTCTCCTACCCATCCTCCTCCGCCTCTCCTCCTCCTCCTTCTCCTCCTTCTCCTACCCCTCCTCCTCCTCCTCCTCCTCCTCCTCCTCCTCCTCCTTCACCTCCTCCAGGACGAGGATACAAATCGGGTGAGTATAAATCGAGAACCTCTGATATCCGACGGCTTTGGAGGATGCCTCGGGCGCCGCGGCCTTCTGAGAGCTCTCCGGATCGCTCTGAGAGAGCGTTCTGGAGCGCTCTGGAACGGACCGATCCTCGTCCTGGCCCCTTCTCCCCAAACCTCCGGCCGCTCCAATTCGTTCGATGCGTGGGCCATGGACGTATGTTGACGCCCCCGAGGCGCGGCGAGGGCCCCGGGAGGTCGAGATCAGCCTGAATCCGCCCGCTCTAATTTTTGTTGTGGCGTCGGATCTCTGGGTCCGACACCAGGTGGGAGAGGCGCGCCGGAGAGGCATGCGGCCACGTGGCGGTCCGGCCCTCGCCCAGGTCGGTCCCTGCACCTGGTGCATCGGGCCTCCGGGTGCCCGCCCACGGGACGCAGCTGGCCTCGAACTCATCCCTGCCCACAAAAATCGGCAAGCCTTGGGCGGTCACGGCCCTACCCCTGAAAAATTCGGCAAGCCTGGGGCGGTCACAATCTTAGTGATGCGCCCTGGCAACACAGGAACCGGGACAGGGTGATGCGAACTGTAGGTATCGAGGACTCGTGTAGGTGCAACGGCGCTCCCTGACCTGCGCGTGGCTGTTGGCGGAGCGGAAGCTGCTGGCGCTGCTCTGGAAGGTCTCGAAGCCACCTGCCAGGCCGCGCATCTTCTGAGCGTACGTCTCAGACTCGGTGAGGGCGCTGACAGTGGCCGACTCCAGCTCGGCCACGACACTGGAGGTGAAGTCGTCTATCTTGCCCAGGGCCTCACACGGTCGGGAACTGTCGCCACGGGGCCACGTTGACACTCTATGCCATGTGACTGGATACACTGTGAATCCGCTCTGCGCGGCGGGAGGCTCGGAAAGGCCAGGGACATGGGAAGTGGATAGCGTGTCGTTCCGAAGCGTGGTGGGCTCGAACCAGCGGAGCGACAGTCATCAAAAGTTCCTGACCGCAGGGGCAGCTCAGCGAGCGGACTCTGCCAATCCATGTTTCTGGGAAATGGGCGTTGTGGTATTGTAGGACGGCACCACGCAGACTTCTGATAGCAGCTAACGGCTGGACAAACGTTACGCATCGGACCCCTGCGAGCGAGGCAGACAAAATATACCGATCTAGCCAGTCGGCAGTTGCCCCCACGGAAGTAATTATTGCGGCCCGATGGCTCCGTGTGCCCACCTGGAAGCTCTGCTAAGACCTCTGAGGGGCAGGAGGCATATACCCTTGTGTTTCTGTGGGGAACACTTGTACGTCAGCGGGGAGGCAAAAGCTGCTCCAGCTGGCGGCGATCGGGGCGACCGATACGCGAATTGGCCGGCGAGCACTCTCCAAGGAACAAGCAATTATGTCCGTAAACATAACAAACTCGGAGGTCCGCGCGGATCTTCGGATCGGCGCTGGACACACGTCCCTGACGCCCGGAGCGCGCCAGGGGCGGCGCCGGGGGGGCCGCCAGGGGGCCCCAATGCCAATCCAATACGAGGAATCCGCGCGAACCTCCGAGATTTTATGTTTATGTCATTGCTCGTCCCCCTGCTGTCATCACAGAAAGGGGCCTGCACATCGTGCGTCCGAACGGACGGGGCACCAGGCGGGCCGACTCCATCCGCTGGTGCGCGTGCCCGCCGAGGGGCCATCGCCGTGGGGGCCGCCCAGGGGGGGGAGCATCCGAGGGGATGTCGCCGTGGGGGCCGCCCAGGGGGAGAACGGGGACGGGGGAGGGGGGGGGGGGCATGCGGGGGGTCCACGCGGGGAGGGGGGGGGGCGGGATCGAACTCGGAACCGAGGCAATGACGTGGTCATGCACTCGGGCCTCGCCCCCGGGACCACGCAGACGAACGGCGCGACGGAGCACGAGGAGGCGAGCACCACGGGAGGGCCCCTCGGGGCCCCAGGCCAGCGCCACGGAGAGCTCGCCTCCGCCCCGGGCCCGGGGTGGGGGAGCGAAGTGCTTCCCAGACGAGCGGCGAGCGCCACACATCCCACGCGCACTGTGCTGCCGATGCTCTGCTGAGCAGCCCGTCCAGGACCGGACCAGAGTCGATGAGACAAAAAAGATGGGGGGGAGCCAGAGGGGGGGGGAGCCAGATGGGGGGGGGAAGACGGGGACAGAGACAGAGCGCGCCGAGGTCCGCCGGGGCGGCGGGGCCCGGAGAAGGCCGGCGCGGGCGGGCCGGAGCCGTCATGTGCGGAGGCGGGTGTTCACGCCCGCTGGCGCTGGAAGCCGTGGAGGCTGGAGGTCGATAGGGAGGAGGGAGGAGGCCGATAGGGGGAAGGGAGGAGGGAGGAGGGAGGAGGGAGGAGGGAGGAGACGACGACGACGAAAGACGGAGTGGGCCCCCGTGGAGATCTGTAAATCGGATGGCGGATGCCACAGGTGGAGCCCACACGGACGAGGGGCCCTCTCCGCGGGCGCCCGCTCCTCCTCCGGAGTGCCTGCCGAACACACGGTGCCCCACGGCAACGGACTTCGCGCGGCCTGTGGATGACGAGGGGGCCCAGTACCCAGAGATCCAACGTAGTGAAAAAAATCAAGACGGAGCTTTTTCAAAATATTCGGCCTCCAGGGGCCCTCGCCAGGCCTCGGGACCGTCAAACAAAGACAGCGGATGAAAAACAGGTCCTGGGGAATAGGTCGAGACTTCGGGGGGCCGCGTATTGAACAAATGACGACATCAGATCTCTGAGTAGACGCGGCCCTGGAGCGAAGTGCTTCCCAGACGATCGGCGGGCGCCACACGTCTCACGCGCACTGTGGGGCCAATGATCTGCTGAGTAGCCTGTCCAGCACCGGATCAGAGTCGATGAAACAAAAAAGGAAGCGCGGAAATTACACCAGACAATAAATGGAATACGTACCCGGCTCTGCTCATCCCGTCGGCGCCTGCTCGTGTCCGATTGCTCGTTGCACCAGGATGCCCACAAGAAGGGCAATAACATAGCGATCATCGGCTACATGCACGAGTGACCGTAGGCAAGCGTTTTTTTGGAACGCCTCAAATGAATCCGAGTTCACATATCCTTATAAAGACTACATGCGTTCAGAGGGGCACCGGTGGGCGACAGGCCCATCTCTCAGCGACAAACCTAGCATGGTGGGCGCCGCTCACGCTCACTCCTCCACCTTAAAGAGCGGTGCTGTGACTTCGCACAGATCGGCACTCTCCGCGTGAGAGTGATTCGAATGTTTCGAGGGTCTTAGGCATACATATATATACATATATATATACATATACATATACATATCTACATATGTACATATATATAGGAGGTTGGGGGGTGAGTCCGACGTGAAACGAAGACCCCCCTACCGGGAAATCGAGTTCGGTTTCGGGTTCGTGTCGTGTGTGCCGTGCGCGCGTGCGAGCGAGGCGAAGCTGCGTGGGCGGACGCGAGAAAATCCTCTTGTGGCGGGGCCGCGGTCGGACCAAATGTTTCTCCTCTGGCGGACGGTGGCCCGCGGTGTCCCGCCGATGTCCCGCTGGTGTCCCGAAATCCTCCTGTGGCTGGGCCGCGGCCGGACCAAAATGTTTCTCCTCCGGCCGGCCGGTGGCCCGCGGTGACCCGCCGGAGTCCCGTGGTGTCCCGTGGTGTCCCGTGGTGTCCCGTGGTGTCCCGTTGAGTGAGATCGATCGTGAGATCGATAATGAGATCGATACTAAAATCAATGTGGTGCCCCGAGGTGTCCCGTGGCCCTGGCGTTCCGTTGAGTGAGATCGATAGTGAGATCGACAGGTGTCCCGTGGTGTCCCGTGGTGTCCCGTTGAGTGAGATCGATCGTGAGATCGATAATGAGATCGATGTGGTGTCCCGAGGTGTCCTGTGGTGTGCCGTGGTGTCCCGCTGAGTGAGATCGATCGTGAGATCGATAGTGAGATCGATAGTGAGACCGATAGTGACATCGATAGTGAAATCGATGTGGTGTCCCGATGTGTCCCGTGGTGTCCTATGAAGTCCCGCTGAGTGAGATCGATAGTGAGATCGATCGTGAGATCGATAGTGAGATCGATGTGGTGTCCCGAGGTGTCCCGTGGTGTCCCATGGTGCCCCGCTAAGTGAGATCGATAGTGAGATCGATAGTGAGACCGATAGAGAGATTGAGAGGTGTTCCGCGGTGTCCCGTGGTGTCCCGTGGTAGCCCGTGGTGTCCCGTTGGGTGAGATCGATCGTGATATCGATAGTGAGATCGACAAGTGTCCCGTGGTGTCTCGTGGTGTCCCGCTGAGTGAGATCGATAGTGAGATCGATTGAGTCAGATGTTGGTTCCCCCCCTCTCCCCCCCCCAACCTCCTCATCACCCGAAGGGTGGTCGTATAGGTATGTATATATCCGTATATATATATGTATGTATATACACATACTAGAACCACGGGCGCGCTTCGCGCGCTTAGGTTCTTCCCCAACCCATTAGGTTCTTCCCCAACCCATGGCGCTGTGCTGAAACGAAGGTCGGGGTTTCCGAGCGACTCGCAGTCGGAGAAGGGATGTGATCGTCCTGCGCTGGTCATGGGATGTCGCAAGGCTTCCTTGGACTGGCTTTCGTGCTGTTCAGGCTCTGTCTTGTGGGGAGGGGGGGGCTGGTGTCTTGGGCCCAAATGTTAACGGGCGAAGAACGGTATAAACTATACTTTTTCGCTGTTGGGGGCGCCTGTCCCTGGGCGGCTGGAAAGTTTATACCCTTACGATGGCACCGTAGGGGTATAAACTTTCCAGCCGCCCAGGGCCAGGCGCTCCAGACAGCGAAACAGTTTATTTATACCGTCTTCGCTCGCTGAAAGTGGCGTCGTCCAGGGTTGCCTCTTCGCTGTCACGGCACGCAGGTCTTGGCCTGCCGGTTCGTCGGGAAGATCGCTGGACAGGCCTGGGGCGTTAATTAGCTTGCTGATGACATGTCGAGGCCGTGGTTTGCTGGGCTTTGGATGTTGTCACACTTTCTCGGAGGAGGATTTCAAATGGACTCCTTTTGAAGAGGATCTCAAATTGAGTCCTTCTGGAGAGGGTTTCCATTTGAATCCTTTGGAAGAGGGTTTCAATTGGATTCCGTTTCAAGCGGATTTCAATTGGAATCCTTATGATGAGGATTTCATCGAGAAGCCTTTTGAAGAACATTTCAATTGGATTCCTTTTGAGCTGGTTTCCAATAGGAACCCTTTTGAAGAGGATTTCAATAGGAATGCTTTCGAAGAGGATTGCAATCGGAATCCTTTTGAAGAGGGTTTTAATTGTGATCCTTTCGAGGGGGTTTCAATTGGAACCCTTTCATCCACTCTCCCGCTCTACACGCTTTCAATAAGAAGCCTTTGAAGAGGATTTCAATTGTAATCCTTTTGAAGAGGGTTTCAATTGGATTCCTTTTGAAGCGGATTTCAATCGGAATCCTTATGAAGAGGATGTCAATATAAATCCTTTTGAAGAGGATTTCAATGGTTTTCCTTTTGAGGAGGTTTCAATTGGAATTCTTCTGAGGAGGATTTCATTAGGAATCCTTGTGAAGAGGATTTAAAACGGATTCCTTTTGATTCGGGTTCCAATATGAATCCTTTTGAAGAGGATTTCAATGGGAATCCTTCTGAAGGGGATTTCACTTGGATTTCTGTTGAGGACGGTTTCAATTGGAATCCGTTTGAGCAGGGTTCCAATTGGAATCCTTCTATCCACTCTCCCGCTCTCCCGCTCTCCCGCTCCCCCGCTCTCCCGCTCTCCCGCTCTCTTGCTCTCCAGGAGTTCAATGGGAATCCTTTTGACTTGGACTTCAATTGGAACCTTTTGACCAACGCTTTGATGTATCCAGGGTGATCCTCTGCATGGTTACCTGTTCACGACGTTCAACAAGAATCGGATGGTCTGACTGCAGAAAAGAATCCGAAAGATCAAGGAAGAGGGTTCTGCAGCAGTTCATGTATACGAATTCGCCAGGCTCTATACTTCTATAACTGCCATTTCAGGAAATTGAGCGCAGGACCGCCGTCAACATTCCTGTCCATGGACGGAGGTTGGAACGGCGGGCAACATGCCCCCTTCGCTAGGAATGTGGCTCCTCCACTCACGGAGGGGGGCAGAGCCCCCAACTCCAGCCCCCCCGCCTGCCCCAGGTGCCCAGGCATGCATCCCTCCGTCCCATCTCCATCCCCGGATTGCCCCTGGGGCCCAGGCACAGGGCTCTGCGACAACATTCGAATTATGGCGATCTGAGATGTAAGAGGAGTCCAGGCCCGGCGGAGGGCTTTGCCATGCCGGGCACTGGTCTTCAACGCCTCAGGTGGCCCTGACAAGCGACTGTGGGACCCGTGGATAGTCGGAGACGGAGTCGGAGTTCGGGCAGCGGTGAGTCTCAATTTCCTGGCTGATCGGCATGACGGGAGCTGGTCACCCTGGGACCACTCAGGCTCACGCCTCCCCGTTTGCGAGCGGCTCCGTGGACTCGCCCTGCCCGGCCATCTCCGCCTCAAAGATCTTCTGGAACTCGGCCTGATTATCCTTGGCCTCTTTCAGGGGCAGGCCATGCAAGGCGCGGAAGGTGAGACCGACGACCAGCATCACGAGGCACGCCCCCATGAAGCCCCCGACCAGGAGGGGCATCACCACGCCAGTCACCATCAGGCGGCAGGCGAGCAGCGTAGCCTCCACGAGAGCCAGGACGCCAGCGGGCTTCCAATCCCCGCCGACCGCGACGCTGAAGGCAACGGCGTTGACAGAGATCCAGGCCGCGCCGATGTACGCGCAGATGAGGAGCGACTGTGCCAACTCGAGCAGCGTGCCGTGCCCCCCCGGGCCCAAGAGCCCCAGGAACTCGCCCCAGAGCGCCACCAGCGACCCCACGCCCACGGACAGGTCCGCAATCCCGACAACGAACCGGCCCAAATATCCAGGCACGCCGTAGAAGGGGCCAATGACCTTGTTGAAGACGGGCTGCATCAGCGTCCTGTATAGCGGGTGTGCGGGCAGCAGCTTGGGCAGGCCGACGACCGCCGCGAGGACCAGCCCGTAGACGGTGCCGAGCGCGAGGGCCACCACGCCAGGGGTCGTCACCGTCACCCCCATGACTGCGGGCGTCGTCGGCTTGATGCAGCTGGCTTGGCGGCAGAAGGTCCTTCAGAGCCTTGAGCCAGGGAAGCTTGGTGCGCGGCTTCTGGGAAGCGCCGAGGGGGCCAAACCCAGGCGTGCAAGGCCGCTGCTGTCGCACCCCTTTCGGCCATCTGGGGACTCCACTGCGCCCGCACCAGAGGCAAGGCCACTCCTACGCTCGGGGAGACGTAAGACTCGGGCACGGGGAACTCGGGTTGGTGAAAATGACGAGACCCAATCTGAAATTTCGCGCGAGCTCCTGCTGCAAGCATCCCACGAAAACTGGACCGTCAAAATCCAGGACGCGCTCGTCAAAAAACGTCGGCAAACCCGAGTCCCGGCGTACTCGAGTCTTACGTTCCCACGATACGCGTAGCCGGGCTCAGACGAGCCCTCAGTGACCGGCATCCGCTGGGGCACTGAGGCAACGGCGAATTCGACTTCCTGTCGGAGATTGTGGCCCTCGGAGAGGAGCGGAGGAGACGAGGCTCCGCGGAGCCCGTGGCATGGGCGGAGAGCGCTACCGCGGAGGGCAAACTGGCTGCCTTGTGCGGGCAGCCGCAGCCTCGTCGATGGCTGAAGGCTCCAGGTGCGCGGAGCAAGTGGGCTGCTGGCGGCAGCGCCTCCAGCTGCTCCCTCCCGAGGCTTCTTCACCACAGCCTGACTCTCCCGTGCCGTGGACACATGCGATGAGGAAGCTTGCTTTCAACTCTTTGGGCACATTCTGCGTCGGTCTTCGAGGGTCATGGGGTGGCCTGGATCTCCTGTAGGTCCCTAGGGCCATCGAGGGATAAGAAAGTTCGTTGGGGCACCTGCGAATTTCTGATGTGAAAGGCCTACTGTATGCCCACAGCCGCAGCGTCGCACCCCGCAGGGCCCCACCCGACCGGGACCCACCCGCCAGGGTCCCAACCAAAAGGACACCACACCGATGCATGGTGGCCGCTGCCGCACGGAATACCAGACAACCGGCCTTTCCGACCAAACCTAACCAGCAGGCTGGACCCGACCAGACCTTACCGCGGCCACGATGCCGATGGGGCCGACAGAAGGACCCACCCCATGGGGTCCCACCCCATGGGGTCCTTCCAGGTATCCTGCCTTTCCTCCTTCTCCTCCTCCTCCTTTTCCTCCCTCCTCCACCTGGTAGGGAGGGGCCATCTCACACGCCTCGCGAACGAGTAATTTGGAGACCCCGTCAACGATGGGAGTCAGGGCTTTGCCACGCGTGGTGAACGGCAGGCCACTAACCTCACGTATCATATCTGGGGGAACCAGCAGGTACCCATACCGCTGCTCCCCGGACCTCTCCCGGGGGGCGTTACGAGCAGAAGTTCAAAATTAATCCAGACGGTACCAGTGTCTGATCATGCTCTACATGATTACGTACCTTGTCCATCCCCCCCTCCTCCACTCGTGATTTGTACGGAGAGTCGCTCTCCACGGCGTCGCGCCTTGGAGTGCCAGTCGTCCATGCCACCGTAGGAGAGGCCATCGTCCGCGGCGGTGTCGTTGGACTGTCACCCCCCCCGCCTGCATCCTCATTCTCCTCATTCTGCTCCTTCTTCTCCTCCTGATGCAGAAGGCAGGACCCTGGAGGTCTTCGTAAGAACGATTACTGACGATTCCGGCCGATTACGGCGCCAGTGTGTTGGATCTCGTCAGATGGAGCCCAGGATTTAGCCGGATTAAGTCGGATTGGACCAGACGAGGCGGAAGGAGTTAATCGACCACGGATGCAGGCCTGTGTCATTCGCCCACGGAACTCACGGGGCTAGTCGGCTGGGTTAGGCCGGTTGTCGACCACGGATATTCTAGCACCGATGCTGAAATTGATATCCAAGGAGTTGCAACCGAGGTAGGGGGAGGGGGAGAAGCAGGAAGAGCGGATGGGAGGGTGACCGTCTCGGCAGGAGGCTTGTTATTGCTCTCACGGGTTGGGTCATCCTTCTGGTTCACCTTTTCTCCATCCCTTAGCCCGACGACGCCGACCCAGAGATCCGACGTAGCTAAAAAAATGTAACATCGAAAAACCACGCCCGGAGCCCTTGACCCCATCTTTCTGCGTCATCTCTCGAGCCGCACCCATCTGTGAGGGTCCCGGGGGCCCAAGAAAAGCGAAAAGGCCGGGCTCGAGCAACGTGGGACGCCAGGATCTCGGGATGACTGCTGGCCGACGGACCGATGCTCGACGACGGGACGAACGACGACTACGACGACGGCGCCGACGACGACGACGACGCCGACGCCGTCGGCGACGACGACGGCGAACGATCTCGAAGGCGACGGCCACGAGGAGCCCTCCTGGCCTGGGCGGCGTGCACCGCGACGTGCAGCGCGTGGCGCTCGGCGGCCGCAGCTGCCGCGCAGGCCGCGAGGAGGCGGGAGACGCTCGCCGGCCCCCGGGGGCCAGGTCGCCCAGTGATTGGGGAGGAGGAGGAGGAGGAAGAGGAGGAGAAGGAGGAGGAGGAGGAGGCGGAGGAGGAGGGGGGAGGAGGAGGAGGCGGAAGAGAGGGGGGAGGAGGAGGAGGGGAGGGGAGGAGGAGGAGGAGGAGGGGGGAGGAGGAGGGGGGAGGAGGCGGAGGAGGAGGAGGAGAAGGATTTCCAGGATTTCCGCCATCACGTAGTGATATAAGCATGCTAGCTCAGGCTTTGGGAAACAGGTCGCGAGAGATACGATCTAAATACTCGCGCCTGGCCTTGGTGATCGACTGTGGGCGGCACGGATTCCCTAGCCCTCTGAGCTGGGCCTGACCGAAAAATCCGCAAGCGCCGCAAAACCACAAACCAAGGTCTTTGTGAAAATGCATGGAGTGGGTGGGGTGCGTCCAACCTCCAGCCAAGCGTAAATTCCGCCCAGGGCGGGGGCGAGCTAATTTAGAGCTGACTTGGAGCAAAGAGAAGCACTCACTTTTTAGCCATTCCTTCTCCGTGGCCAGGGTCGCTGAACTACGGCACACTGAACACAACCTGCCATTTTTGGTCAGGGTGTGGGCAGACGCGAAGCGTGCTATAGCCTTCGGATGCGGAGGGGCGAGACGGGCGTGCGAGGCCTTCGGGGTCCCCTCCTGCTCCTGAGAGGCGCATATGGACTCTAGGGCGATGCGGAGCAGCCGACGACGTACTAAGCGGGCTTTACGCTCAGTCTCAAGAACACGGAAACGCTCGGTCTCTGGGACCCTGGCCTGGGTGGCAGCCTTACCCGCGAGGACGTCCACGCAAGCATTACCCTGGATGAGCCAGGACGGCCATCCTTGGGCCACGACTTCTCTACCCTCGAGGTGAGACGGCACTTGCAAAACTGACACGAAGTGCGGTGGCCTCGACTGCGCACGCAACAGGGAGCCTATAGCACGCCATATGTCAGCCTGCGGCCCTGCTGGTGTCTCGAACGCTCTGTCGTACCACCCTCGGGCCACCTCAGCACAGTCTGTAACGTACACGAGCCAACCATCTGACAACCTGAGATACCATTCGAAACTCAAAAGTTCCCCCCGCGGCACCGTCTGCGAGGGGCCTGGGAGGGGGCCTGTAACGTGAGGCCCTAAAGCGCAAGGTGGGAAAGACTGGAACGCTGCTACGGCCAATCCTACTCTTCTGAGCCTGGGATCGTGGGTGTCCTTTCCTCCTGAGGCGTCTCCAAAAGGATGACAGGGCAATCTGCGCTCCCGCTCCCGAGACACCCAGGCCAAATGGAACCTCCAATCAACGAGTTCCCGAGAAAGACTTCGGGGGAGGGAGGGGGGGGCACGGCTGTCCAGGCGGCAGGGATGATGCCTCTCATCCAAAAAACTGGAAATGTGTCCTGCTCAGCTAGAGGTTCTGGGACCAGCTCATCTGACAGGGCAAAGGCGGGCGAGTCTCTATTCTTGCTGCAGGTCCAGCACCTGTGCACTGGAGTATCCGTAGCCTCCTGGCAACGGAGGCAAAGGTCGCTGTCGGCGAGCTTCTCGTCGTACTTCCTCTGCTGCGTCCAGAAACCCCCTGTAGCGACCGTGACCACGAGCTCGGATAACTGTCGTCCCCGATGAGCTTGCTGCAGCGCCGAGATGCACTGCCTGTAGCTCAGGAGGTCGGCGCCGTACTCGAGCCCTGCCCCGCAATACTGCTGAGCTGCCTCGCTCCATAGTTGATCACTGAGGGTGGCCTCGAACTCATCCAGCAGCGGCTGCGCCTGGTCCAGGCCGACGAACGCCTCATCGTGGAAATGCCACGTGTGAGTGTCCCCCGTCCTGTCATTCGGTACCTGCCACGCTGTAGCTGAGTCCGCTGTCCATCCCGCCTGCATCAGGTAGAGCATGACCGACGACATCGGGCCCCTCACGTGCCTGCACCGTTGCCCCTCGGGGATGTCCCTGAGGGTCTGGTACACTTGAGGCCAAACGTTGATGATGGAACGCCGAATATCTGGTTGTCCGAGCCAAGCCTCGAACCACTGCTGCAAGCATAGCCTCGGGAGGGCTGTCCCAGGGTCGGCCCCAGGGGGCCGCAAAGCGAGGAGGGTCGTTAAACACCTCCCACGCTTGTTGGAACCTGCCGCTGCCCCGAGGCGTCGACGGTGCGTGAGCATGACGCTGCCGAAGCACCCGTGGATCTGGTGCCCGTAGGCCGCCGCCGCCTGCGGGCCAGCTCGCTGGATCTGGGCGCGGCGCGGGCGGCCGTGAGAGCTGCCTGCCTTGTCCACCCGCTTCCGCGCATTATCCCTGGCCAACCTGCGCCCGCTGCCGACGTCGACGCCGAGGTACGGGGCCTGCATGACGGCCTTCACCTCCACGCCCTTGAGCTTGAGCTGCTTGGTGATGTACACCGCGTCTGCATGATGAGCACAAGTGGTCACCCTCTTGGAGGCGATCCTCAACTTGAGCTTCTGAAGCTCGCGCACGGCGCTGAGCGCAGCCTTGGTCAGCTCGCTCCGCACGCGCATCCTGGACCCCACGACGCGCTCCGACAGGTCGTCCACCCAGATGCGCTCTGACATCGCCGGGTGCGCGACCGAGAGCTTCTTGCGCACGAACGCCGTGAGGCACTTGGCGAACCTGGCGCCGTTCCTCGACCCTTGTATCACGGACCTGGACGCCTGGAACGGTAAAGACACCGCATCTAGCTGAGCCAGCAGCCGCGGTGCTAAGAACATCTGCACTTCTAAAAACAAAACCGTGGGCTGGAAGCCCTTCTTGAGGGCGCAAGAGGCCAGCGCGGCCATCTCAATCCCGTCGTAGAAGGCCTCGACATCCAGCAAAGCCTGCCCGTGGGGCAGGTGCATCGCCGACTGTACCTCATCCTCGAGCGCCCTGACGAACGCCTCCCTCAGGGCGCTGTTGCCAGCGATGGCAGCGTCCCAGTAGTCGTCCTGGTCGGTGACCCAGTCGCGAACGAGGTACTCCCTGGCCATCGACCATGCGCGACAGAACATGGGCAGCAGCCCTATGCACCTGTCGCCGCCTGACTTCTTGCCGAGCAGGCGGCCCAGCACGCACATGGCCTGCCACGGCCACGTCAAGCCCTCCTCGACCATGCGGTAGAGGTCGCAGAGCTCGCGGAGGCCCTCGTCGGGCAGGCGAGCGAAATCCGTGGGCGAGAGCCTGTCCACGCCCATGCCTGCTCTCGCCTTCATCCTGGCGAGGGCCCGCCTGAGGTCCAGCACGGTGAGCGGCTCCAGCTGCTCGACCTGGGCGCGCTGGCGGATGAGCTCGCACGCCTGACAGATGTCCTCGTAGGAGGCACCGCTGGACTGCCACAACGAGTGCCACCGCTGCACCTTCCTGTCTATGATGTCCACGGGGTGGGCGAGGCTGCACCCGTCCACGTGGAGCTCGTCCTGCTCGGGCATGGGGTCTTTGATCGACCGGTGAACTGCACCAGCAGAGTCGGAGATCCAGTCCTGAAAACTCCTCAGCGAACCCGAGGCTGCCTTGTTCTGAGCTCGTCGCGCCGAGCGAAAGGTGACTTCCTCCAGTGCCTCGAGCTCCTCGATGGAAAGCTCGGGTAGGCAAGCGAGCCCACGCAGCACTCCGCGAACGTAGCCCCTGTGGTCCACAGGTTGATATGCCAGCCTCTGCGCCGCGGCGCTGAGGGATTGAAGTTGCAGGGCATCGTTTCGCCGCCGACGATGCCTCGCTGCTTGCTTCACGATGGTGTGGGCTCTCGCCCACCAGGCCGCTACTCCGTCGCGTAGCGGTTGCTGACGTATGTGTAACGCCTGCTTCACTGGAACAACTGCGACGGCCACCCCTGCCCCTCGCGAGCGAAGGGGAGGTGATAGCCCGTGGTGCTCAGATATAGCCGACTCCGCGATGCTTATCCAGCGGGCGAAGCAGCTGCTGACTGGTAGTATGTGTTGGCGGCCTGCGGCGAAAGCGATGGAATCTTGCACTGGCCGCCAGACGTCTGAAAGCGACTGTGAGTGCCAAGCGGCTTGACCCGAGTGCGACGCCCACAGAGAGGGTGGGAGAGCGAAAGGGGGGAGGACGGCATCGGAAGCGGCAGCGGAGCAGGTGAGATTATCCTGACCCCCAGCCGTGCTGGGGCCCCCCTCCCCTGGCGGCTCGGCTGAAGTGGACTGCTGATCCCCCGGCCCCACTCCAGCGTCGCCCACTCTCGAAGCGGGTCCCAAATCAGAGCTGCTTTTGCTTGACTCGGAACTCCCAAGACTGACGCTGTTGGTCTCCGCAAGAACGCTGACTGGGTGAAAGCGCGACTCCAGGGCCCAGGGCCCTCTTCTTCCCACTCTTCGAGCTCCCCAGGGTCACGCTCCCACCCGGGGCATTCCCCAGCAGAAAAACCAACCTCGGGGCCAGGTGGGTCAGAAATGTCGGACCCCTGGGAAACGAAAATCTCGGAGCCCTCGGACTTGTCCCTGGCGAGTAAATCGGAAAAAAATTGTCGCACTCACTGCGTAGACGCTCCTGTGCTAGCTGTGTCCGCTCCTTCTGTTGGGCGCGAGCCTTGCTGGCCTTAGATCCCTCTGCGTGGCAAGTCGAGGGCCGAGGGGCCTGAGGCAAACGAGGGGCGGAGATGAGGGAACGAGTGAGGAGCTGCTCGCCCGCGCCGTGCAGCCTAAGCTCGAGCGCGCAGCGCGGGCTCCATGGAACGTCCGTTCTGGCTGACAGACTGTGAATGTATGGGGGCCCGCTCTTGGACGCCATCAGGAAATCGATGTGTGGGCGACCTGCGCTCCCGACGCATGTGCATTCAATATCGGCCTGACGGATGTGCCCGTGCACCCTTTTCACGAAGGCAGAGCGCCTAAAAGCCGAGACATCCCGATTAAAGTCACCCAGCACGATCCAAGGGAGCTGCGCTGACGGCAAGAGCGCGCCGAGACGCGCATGCCTCTGCGCATTGGCGCCCGTGAATCCGAGCGATGGGTGCACATTAAAAAAAGATAATTC